CGGTCTCGGTCCCGATTTCGGACTCGGACTCGATCTCGGTCTCGGTCTTGGCCTCGGTCTCGGTTCCATCTCGGACTCCATCTTGGACTCCATCTCGGGTCCATCTTGGACTCCATCTCGGACTCCATCTCAGGTCCATCTCGGGTTCATCTCAAACTCCATCTCGGGTCCATCTCAGACTCCATCTCGGGTCCATCTCGGACTTCATCTTGGACTCCATCTCGGACTCCATCTCGGGTCCATCTCGGGTCCATCTCGGACTCCATCTTGGGTCCATCTCGGACTCCATCTCGGGTCCATCTCGGACTCCATCTCGGACTCCACCTTGGACTCCATCTCGGACTCCACTTCAGACCCCAACTCGGGTCCATTTTGGACACTTCCTCGTGTCATGTGTTGGTCCTTTTGGGTCCTTTTTTGGAGCCTCGCTTATTGCTCACTTCGTGCTCGTTCCTCGAGCACTTCGTTAGGAATTCCACTCCCACTCTCGACCTTTTCAAGTCGGAGTTTTTTGGTCCAAACGTGTTACGCTCGTTTGGTTTTCGCTTCAGCCACCACCACATGGCACCCTTCCAGCTCCACTTTGGGGCTTAGGGATTTTGTGTCTCACAACTCCACCACCCATAGACGAAGTTCGATGTCCTCATCGAATGGTAAACCCTCTTATAAAGTAACACCCGCATGTATTACCAGTTCCATCCTTGGCACCCAGCCAATATTTGTCTATGGTTTGACACCAAAGGCTCACCATGCCTTGTCTATCCTCTAAGGGGCATAGTCTCTCCAACATAGAGACTCATTCGGCCACCTGGGGTGGTTTGCTCCCTTTTATTGGTTCAGTTCTCGCTAAACTTGTTAGAGACACCTTCTCTAACTCAATTCCACTACTCATTCTCGAGTAGTCTCAGATTCTATCGACATAACCTTTGCACTTTGGAACGTTTACTTTTGACTTCTTGAAGTCAATTTCCTAGGTGTCTCTGACACTTTGCATTGCACATATTGTGCAAGTCCACTTCCCTATCCTAGGAAGTTCTCTACTTGAGGGCACCATCATCCTCTTTTTTATTTTGTGCCACCCTTGGCACTATGTTCCAATTATTATCATTTGTGTCAGGGCTGTCCACAGCCCTATCCTTTGGCTACTTTGCTGCTCCTCACTTGAAGCTTTTACTTTGCTAAATTGGAGCACTTAGGAATCTAACCTTGGAAGTCCACTTCCTTTCCCGCAATCCGTTAGTATCAAACACATTAGTGTTCCTTGGCTAACTTTGCCATTTGGATTCCTCCCATTAAATTCCATGGCCCAAACTTGGCCACTAGTCTTTTGCTCCTATCCATTGATTGTTGCATCAAGCAACAAAGGATCACTACCTCCCTCCTTGAGGTATTCTTTTGGTTCCATGGCAAAATTCCACTTTGCCAAGTCCAAAGGGTAGCAACTTCTGCTATGGGCCCCTTCCACGGCCCAACATTGTGACCCTCCCATAGGTCCTTTCTAGAGACTACTTTTTTGAACTCATAATATCATTGTATCGTCGTAGTTCAATTCCCTTAGGTGTCCTTCTTGACCAAGCCACACCATTATCAATAGTTTAAATCAACGTTTTGACCTAGGAACCTTGTTCCTTAACCTCAAAAGGATTTCGTCCTTGTTTAGCCATACGATCACCTAGTGATCTAATCTTAATACCTTAACAGGTTTGCCAATAGGTACTAGGTCTCCCAAACCTTTAACTTGTTGACCATGACCCCGGGGGCATCCCCCACACTTGGCGGTGTGCTCAAGCTAGCCCTTCCGGCCAAGGGTCCATAGCAACTGAGACTGGGTGTCCCCATCTCATTCACCACGTCCTTGGTGCCACTCGCACCAAAGTGTTCAAGTTAGATATGCCAAGCCACACTAAGCAATTTAACTGTGTATCACGACTCCGGAGCATCCCCCGCTTGGCGGTGTGCCCAAGCCAGTCTCCTCACTGAGAGTCCATGACCACCGAAATATGAGTGTCCTCATATTCCAAACCATCACTACGCCCTAGTGATTTGGGACTCGAACCCCAGCATTAGAGGGTCGGGACTCGAACCCAACCTCCGTATATGCATCTACGGATGGCATTACCCAGGATGCCTAGCGTGACTCATCACGCCAGTGCACCAACTTATACTTAAAGCGTGCTACAGATCATAGCTTAGGAACCTAGTTCCTCCACACTGCCAAGTCCTCTCACTTGACAAGTCTGTGATCATGCATGGACTCCTCCATGCTTGGCCCCATGGCCCACCCTTTTTGAAGTTATCACTTTCAACTAGGGTATTTGTTCCCCCGACTTGCTAATCTCGCTTGGCAAGTCATCCGGCTATCGTAACATGGTTCATGCATAAGCGTGAAAGTCCTTGACTATCAACTTTCGTTCAAAGCCCTCTTTTTGAACACTCGGGAACTACTTCCCTAACCTTGAGAGCCTTGCCTCATGGCAAGCTTCAAGACCACGCTTCTGCTGCGCCACTCTGATTTCGCGCGTTTTATGAACCATTTACACTTGGCCTTCCTAGGTACTAAACTACCTAGAATCGTCTTTGGGAACCTTGAAGGAACTCTGTCCCTTAGCTTGCTAAGGCCTCCCTTTTCGCAAGCTTTATAGTTGCCATATAGTCTAACATGGACAATTCCATATTTTAGACTTTCCATATGGTTGCAAGTAACAACATCCTCGAGCACCCTCTTGATTCTCCACTCCCAACTTGCATAACCACCATTGGATATGCCTTTCGATTTCTATGGTTTAGTTCCATCCCAATACTACTTGCCTTTTGGCCCCATATGTTTCCTTTGGTTATTCTCCTCCAGACTAGGAGGATAGCTTTGCACATTTTACTATGCCTTAACAAGTATTCTTAGGGATGAACCTACCTGATAGCCTAGGGAGTGGTTCCTCAATCTTGGGCATGCTCACTTTATAATCCCACACATCGGGATTAACGTTGCTGCTTATGGGCCTTTACATACCCATCACTAGCCTTGCCAAAATTCCATTTTTGGCTTTGTCCAATTCGGGTAGACAGTCTTCTTCTATCTCCACAACCTTGGACATTTGGATAGCACCTACTATCCATCATT